CCCAGCTACTCGGAGGCTGAGGCGGGAGAATGGCGTGAACCCGGGAGGTGGAGCTTGCAGTGAGCTGAGATCGGGCCACTGCACTCCAGCCTGGGCCACACAGCGAGACTCCGTCTCAAAAAAAAAAAAAAAAAAAAAAAAAAGAAAGTTATTTTTCTCCTTTTGATAGTTGTCTATTATAGAAGTAAGGAACAGCTTTAATTTCACTTACAGGTGGTTATAAAAGTTTAGACAGCTTAGATTTCCTTAGCTTGAATGTAGAGAAGGATTGCTCTAATCACCTACCCCCCTGACCACCAAAGCTGCTAAAAACTTGGAATTTTTTTTTTTTTTTTTTTTTTTGGGAGATGGAGTCTCACTTTGTCACCCATGATGTAGTGCAGTGGCATGATCTCGGCTCACTGCAACCTCCACCTCCCAGTTTCAAGCAATTCTCCTGCCTCAGCCTCCAAAGTAGCTGGGATTACAGGCGTCTGCCACCACGCCCGGCAAATTTTTGTATTTTTAGTAGAGACGGGGTTTCACTGGGTTGGCCAAGCTGGTCTCGGACTCTTGACCTCAGGTGATCCCCCTGCCTCAGCCTCCCAAAGTGCTGGGATTACAGGTGTGAGCCACTGTGCCTGGCCAAGAACTTGGATTTTTTTATACCGTAGAAAAATTCATAGGGAGATTTAGTTAAAGATTGAAGATTAAACATATAATTTCTTTTGCTCTCTCTCTAAACCCTTCAAAACATTATATTAAAAGTACCTGGATAAAAGGAGGCATTAACCTGCAAAAATAAGAATAGAAGAAGAGCCAAAGGGACAGAAACTTGGAACGTGGAGAGGGGAATCTAGTGGAAGTTGATTTAGAAGCTCTGAGAAAGCTGAAACTGAAGCAGGCAATGTAAGAAGCCAAGATACAATATATTTGGTATCACAGAACCTCAGAAAAGCTCAAAACTTGGCTGTCCCATGTGGAACTGAAAATGACGGTGAAGGTAGGGCTGATATATTGCTGGAAGCTCCACCCAGTGCTATCTAGTGACTGCTCCTACCTGATCCTTGAAGAACCCCAAAAATAATCTGTCTGGAGAAGGTGAGCAGATGTATACCTGGCACAGCTGATAGGGCACAATACTAACAAAGGAGACACTAACTGAAAGTTGACATATTGAAGAGTGAGATATGAAATCTCCTTCATATATTGTACTCCCAGAGTACTAACAACAGGGCTCAGACCCTCCAGTTGGGGCATGCTTCTTTGAGGGATGTAATTAATCCCAGAGAAAATACTTAACAATGCCAATGGTCAGGGTTCCCTGAAGAATAGGCCCGGTCAGGCCACTTTACAGTGAAAACTGCAAGTTGGCAATCCCTGCCACAAACAAAGAGGTTCCAGTCAGACTTGTAGTTCTTCCTTCTAAAATGTGTGGGGTCAACCAAAAGGACAAATCAAACACAAGAAAAGAAACTTGGAAGAAGCAGATAATCCAGAGAGCAGACAAAAACTTTCAAAAGATTTTCAATACCTTCAAAAACTAAAGAAAAGATACTGCATTTATGAATTAAGGATAGAATGCTTTAAAAATAAGATTCAAAGCACACAAAAGAGGTCTTGGAAATTATGATTGCAAAAATTACATTCTCTGAAGAAGGTTGAAATATAAAAGTGTGAGGAAATCTCCACAAAGAGGTGAAATATAGGAAATAAGGAAACTAGAGTCTCAGTCCAAGAGGTCTACTGTTTGTAAAATAGCAATTCTGGAAAGAGAACAAAGCAGAAAAATTACCAAAGGAAGAATTTAAGAAAAATAGTCAGAATTGGATATATGTGTCCAGTTTGATAGAACAGACCAAGAGCTCATTATAATGCTAATAAAAGTCAAACACAAAACACACCATTATGAAGTTTCACAATACTGGAAACAAAGACAAGTATCTAAAAACTCCCAGAGAGAAAAACCAGGCCATATGCAAATAATCAAGAAAACACTAGATTTTTCACTAGTGACTCTGGGAGATAGAACACAATGCAGCAAATTTTTCAAAACAATTGGCAGTCTAGAAATCTGTATTCCATAAAACCATCAAAGTAAGGAAGATGTTTATTCATGCAATGTTTCAAGAATTTTACCTTTCATTATACACATTTCTTATGAAGCAATTAGGGGATATTTTCCACCAAAACAAAGGAGTCAACTAAGAAAAAAATGAAATCTAGTAAAAGGCGGATCAGAGGTCATCCAACACAGGAGAAAGGTTAAAGGAATCTTCCCTAGCTGATAGATAATGAAGATTTTTGGATGAGTACATTAATCTTAGATCTGTCTTAAACACAGAAGGATTATATCTTACACAGAAGGGATTATATCTCCTATAAAGAAATCTTGTTGGAGGCAGCTTAAGTATTACATCCTTACAGATTTATCACAGACACTCTCTTTTTCATATATTAAGTGCATATTAATATAATAAACTATTCCCAAGTTTGCCTCATAGACCAAGATGTTTGTTGAAGATCAAGCTACCATATTCACATTCCAACCAGGAAAGAAGATTAAGGAAAGACAAAAGGGCTCCCTTCTAGCTGAATCTGTACTTTTAAGCAGCCTTCATGGAAATTTCTTACAACATTTCCATTTGTATATCATTGGCCTGAGCTTTTCATATTGTGAAGTTTTATAAAGCCTAAAACTAAAAATTATAGACATACCAATTAAGTGTGTTATATACTGATAATTTAGGAGGTGTTTACTTTCATATCAGTATATAACATATACTGTATATAGTATATAACATATACTGCATATAATATATATTTTAATATATACTACTTTCATATCATAACATATACTGATATGAAAGTAAACACATGCTAAAAAGTGTTGCCCTTTTGAAAGAGGAGTGGGAATATGATATGGGGGTGAAAGGAGGGAGCTCCTGTTTGTTGAAATAAGATTTATAGAATCATTTGACTCCTAAAAATGTATGGATGTATAGCTTTGATCCAAAAAATTAAAAACTGAATTACAGAAAAAACTCCATAAGTGTTTTCAAACTAAACAAAATACAATAGCTGCATACACATGTTTTTCCATTGAAGGCTGACCAACAAAGCAAAAAAGCCTGCCTTAAATTACAGTTTTTACTCAGAATTTTAAGAATAAAGAAAGCTCAGAATTCTCTTTCTTAGGTTCACATACTGTAGTACCAAATTATGTTGGGTTTCTAGAGCGTTTACAAGCAGTCATTCTCATAAGTTTTCATTCCACTGCACTAGAAAACCTTTGTGACTGACGCATGAAGATCTGTTCCCTGAGGGAAGAGACTGAAGCACTAACGTTAAGGTTAAATGTTATCTCTGTTGATTAAGGCAAGGGCCAGCCAAGCCAGAAGTCCTGTCAATTCAATGGCCTGGAAAACGATCAAGCCGCCGAATCCAGAGACACAACAGCTTCTCCCCAAACAGCCCTCAGTTTAATGTCAGCGGTCCAGGTAACATACCCTTCATTTGTTTTTCTTTGTCCAAGTCGTTTATCTTGTGTTTTCCAATTGATTATTTTAACAAACAACAGATAAGACAATAGTAATGGAACACTTTCCTTATACCAAGTAAGTTTGAGACGAAAGCAGTGAAGAGTGTAGGGTATGAAGAACTGGGGTGGTGAGCCTAAAATCAGCACGGTCAGAATCCTAGCAGTTGTTCCTGGAAAGCACACAGAGAGATGGTGAACAGGGAAGGCAGTAGTTCCATCAGCTAGCATCTAAAAGACTTGACGGCTATAAGAACTCCCCATCATCTTGAAATAAAGAGGCTCTACCGTAATATGCTCTAGATATCCAAGCCTCCCTAAGCATATCCTAAGTTCATTTGGGGAAAGGATCCTTGTTTTCATGATAGGATTAGTCATAGCTGGTATTTTTGAAGTTTGTAATGTGATGTAAGATTTACTGGGCTAAACCATACTCGTAATTGTTAGGTTATTAAATTTTAACTGTGTCACTTATAACCATTTTTAAATCAATTTGAAATATGCAAACTCATGTTGCTAAATATTGGAGTAATTTTTATAAAGCATGCATATATACATGTACATGTGTCACTTGAACATGTCATTTTAACACAAATGAGTCTTTAAATATCTAATATTCAGAAAATCAAGGTATAAGCTATATTTTATATTTTCACCAACTGTACTTGAACAATTTCAGAGTATTTTCATGAATAAAGCCTTATTTTATCTTGACACCTGATAAAATAGATGTTAATTTCCCTATTTCTCCATTTAACAGGTAAGGAAACAAGCCTGGGAAGTTAAATGATTTGTCCAAGGTCATATGGAATATTAGTCCATTTTTATTGTGAAGCAACCTTAAAATCTTGATGGTTACACTCATAGATACTTGTTTTTCTCTCTCATGAGTCTATGGTTGGTGATTTGGGCAATTTCAGTTGGATGTGGTTCTAGGCTGTATGTAGGTTGAGATTGGCCCCACTCTTCATGTAGCCTCCTTCTGGAATAAGCAGCAACTGGAGCATTTTCTTTTCCTAGTCCAGCCCAAAATTATACATGCATATTAAAAACCATTGTTTTATGTACTGTGTGCATCTTGTCTGCTATTTCTCTACTGGCCAAACAAGTCACATGTCAAGCACAGTAACAATGGGAAGGGAAATGTGCTTCATCCACTATAATAGGAGATACTGCAAAGTTGTGGTGCACGGGTATATACAGATACTTCTATAACAGGAAAAAAGTGAAGAATTGGGAAAAATAATACGATCTACCATATGCAACTAGAAAATGACAATGCGAAGCTCCGGAAGTAACATATAGATTGTTCTTTCCATTTTAACCTTTAGAAAATAGTCCAAAATATCTTTCCTTGGGCCTTTGATGTGACAGCCACCTTAAATTATTTTGGGAATAACCCAGATTAGAAATATTGTATTAGAATTTAAAAAAATATAAATTTTATTAATATATTTATAATATTTTCTCCAATCAGCCCCTTTCTTTTTTCTCTCTCTCTCTTCTATTTTTTTTTTTTGTAGCCACTTCTTTGTGGCAACACCAATGCACATTTTTACATCATAATTTGGTGGGTTTTGAAAGGTGCTGCCTCCAAGAAGGCAGGTGGAGAAGTAAATTCTGATGACATCACTCTCCCTTTATAATTTAGTTCTTGTCTTTATTGTATTCAAAGCTAACACAAGGCTTTATAGTCTTGAATTCAATCACATTCTTATTTCAAGAAATATTAAACAATACTACTTCAGCAAATGCCTATGAAAACATTTTTATTAAGCTACAATCAGTATACACAAATATGCCAGGATGTTTGTGCACGGGCTCAGATCATAACTCTTCCCTTTGCATAATAATGTTGATAAAAACAATAATAGTAGCAGAACTTCTATAATGTTTAACTTGGTACTAGATACACCCACACACACACTACATACCTATAAATACATATGTATGTTTATATCATATATATGAATATAGATCAACAGGCTCCAGTCTGCACTCTTAACCACTATGCCATGATTATAGAGCCCATGTATGTATACTCAAGTTAGTTCCTGGGAAAGGAGACACCAGCTATCTTGCCTTTATGCTTCTTTTTGATCGTAGCAATTTACACCTTGCTATGGTCAGGGATATGATTTCACTGGCTCTTGCCACTGCCCTACAAGTAAGTTTAGAATTGTTGATTGATGCTTCTTTTTTGCAAAAGAAAACCAACTACATCATGGGGTTTTGTAAATGGCTCAGCAGGATCTTTTCTTTGAATATCAAAGGCCAGATAGGCAATTACATAAAAAACAGACCTGTGGAAGTGAACCCCTGGGATGCATGGATCTATGGAAATCAATACCTTAGAAAGCACTCATGAATACATTAAAAAAATGACCTGTCAGTGACACTGCATCCTTCCTTCAGGGTTGAAGGAAAGCTCTGATATAACCAAGTATTTCTTCTCTGTCTAAAGTTTAACATATTGCCCTCATGATTCTCCCTGGCCCCAGGCTTATTAGAAGAAGACAACCAGTGGATGATCCAGATAAATAGACTCCAGAAATTAATTGATAGACTGGAAAAGAAGGTAGGTGCTTTCTTTTCTTTATTCTCTCTTCCACTCTTCAAGATATTCTTACCCAGTATTCCTCATTGCTTTATATCCATGACTGCCCCATAGATAGAATAACAGCCAGGATCCCAATGATTCTATGAATGGTTGCTTGGTAGTTATTTGAGGTTTTTGTTGTTGTTGTTAAATACAGAAGCTTACATTAATTCTTCCCCTACCTCCCACTCCCAATTATATTTAAAACAGGATGTGGAGTTGAGAGTTAAATAAATCTATTGCACTGCCTGGCTCTTACATTTTCAAGTGAACTAGGTGACAGTGTGCTTGAATGATGCTAATGACAGCTCTTAGGGATAAGATGGTTGAAGTCTTGAGAATCTTTCAAATTAATTCAGGAAAATGGCAATGCTATCTACTAAAAGATGAGATTCCACACTCAACTTCTGGAAAGTAGCACATTAACCGATGGTTTTGCTATTAAAACTATCTAGGCAAGCAAGTTAGAATGTGATGAAGAGTTCTTTAGAACTATATTTTATGTTCTTAGTTATTGCATTTTTATTAATTTAGTTAGTACCAAGTAGTCCTGTTATTGTAGTGATATTCTCCTTAAACATCTTTGATGGGAGAGACAACTTTTGTCAATCAGTAAGAAAAAAATGTGTTTTCTGCACATGTCAGGCACCAAGTGAGAAACATTTATGTTTGTGTCAGCACTGACTTTGAAGAAAACAATTGTCTACTAATAAAACTAAGCTGTTCTCCTAAAAAGAGAGAGCGAGAGAGATAACACACTTTTTAAAAATTATGTGGTAGCACAGAGTGAGATTCATAGTTCATGGTCAGTAAGTATTTTAATGACTGACCGAGACATGCTAAAGGAATGGATCAGATGTTAAAATCTATCCATGCTTACCTGATGGGTTGATCACTGTGACCTGGGGTGCTCAGGAAGGACTTCGTGTGGCAGGAAGAGTTCAAGTGGGGCCTTAAAAATGGTGACTTAATTTAAAATTTTATTGCAAACAACATAAATTATTTCTCTAATAAAAAAGAGTTTTCTGGAAGAATATGGAAGTTCTCATAGAATCAACAGATAGTCCAGAGGTCTGAATTTGGAAAAGTCAGAAGACAAGATAACCCTAGAGATCTAAATAGCAAGAAATACTCAACAGTCTCTGAAGTTACCTCCACTGGAATAAATGAGTTCCTACCATTTCCAGTCTGCTGGCCTTCTGTTCAAAATTCCACTTCCCAGAAGGAAGAACCTGGTTGGTCGTGGCAGGGTTGCATTGCTGGCCTCCTGGATAGGGGAGGGGGAAAAGTCTTGATAACAATCCCAGAGCACAGTATAGAGAGAAGAAGAGATAATTCAGTGAAAAGAAAATGTATTGTCATTAAAGTTGGAATAAACTCTGATCAGCTAACAAACAAAACAAGGAAACTAATATTTGCTATGGAGAAGTAAAATTTCAGTAGAGGGCAACTGGAAAGGGCATTCAGGTAAGGTGATGGCATGAGCAAGGTTCAGTAGATTGGCCTGGTTGAGAGTCTTTCATGTAGGGGAGTAGTAACAAATAAGGTTATATGGACAGAAGAGGGCCAGATTATGGATAGCCTCAAATAACAGTCTAAGGAATTTGGACTTGGAAACAACAGAAGGCATTTATTATTTTTTAACAGGTAAGTGAAAAACAAAACAAAACAAAAATCCTTTAGATAGGAAATTGGGCAGCAATATGCAAAGTGAATTAAAACAAATGCAAAATGAGTTAAAACAAGAAAAATGAGGCTCAGAGACACCAGAGCCAGCTCAGAAAATGGCATTGAAGAACAGGTTTGTGCAACTGAACCCAGTGAAGTCAGGTATGATAAGAGATGGGCCTATATTAAGCTAATGCGTGAGAAGAAAATGGCAGTTTGAAACACTTGAAGTGAAATTAACAGCACTATTGAACCGGTTAAGGACAGGAGGAGCTCAAATAAGAATCTGAGGATTGGAGCCTGTGTTTCTGAAATAATTATACCATTAACAGAAAAGGAAGAGACACATGAGAGATAATTTGTGAGGTAAGGTGAGAAGGTGAACCAGTGTTTTCGATGTGTGAATTTCAAGGTACAATGGAACACTCAGGCAGAAATACCTAGTTAGATATTAGTAGGAGAGAAGTCAGGCCAACAGGTTAAGGTCTCTAGACTTACTCCACAAAGATGAACCCTCAAGTCCTGAGGATGGGTAAGATCTCTGAAAAGGAGATTCTGTGCAAGAGCCAAGTTAAGGGGAAACAACCCTGTAGAGTTCTTGTCCCTCTGCCATGGTGCCTTTATTTGTTAAATGTGTATTGAACACTTACTGGAGCAAATACCTAAACTACTAGCTTGCTGCAAATCAACTTTCCTCCTTTCTTATTTTATTGATATGTGAGCTGAAACTAAAAAGATTTGTAGGAAAAATAGTGGCTATGGAAATTAGTTTTCCAATATTGGAAGATCAAATCCAGGACCTCTATTTGAAAACTAAAGCTTGTTAAAACATAAGGATTCAGTTGCTAAATAAGTCCAGATTCATTTAAAGAATACAAATACCTCCTTTTAACGTTTTGAAATTTTGGACAAAACTATCTTTACTTGGTATCTGAAATTTTTATAGTTATTTTTAAAGGAATGGCCCAAACTTATTTCATACCTTTTTTTCTAACTTTAAATCAAAGTATTGTTACATTTCTTTTTTTCCTAGACTTTTTTCTCCCTCCCTTCCTATAAAAGGGTTTCATTTTGAGGACAGTATCTAAGAGGTTTGCTAAAAGTACATTGTGATGGTTTTCAGCATGGGGCTCCAGCTGTGTGGAGCTCAGTGTGAGCTGTCTTAATGAATGGAGAAGCAGTGCAAGTTCAGTTTTCTTCTACAACTTATTCTATACTGTGCTGATTAGGTTTTTAGAGAAAAACTACCCAATTGCCAAACAGTGGCTGAGTACATGTCATTTCACAGCTGAGTACCTTGTCTCCTGTAGTTGTTAACTTTAGTTTTGATCTTCCCATTAAAAGGAAGTATACCTGCAGTAGAACATATGTTATCTTTTCTCTGCATTCAGTATTTATGATAAATTCTTCCTGCACTGGAACCAAGCCCTATTCCATGCATGTAGGGGAATATAACACTTAGCAATTTCTATAAATAGGTTTCTTCAGGTATTCCTTATATCCATTTCAGCCTCAATGAGAATTTATGGGGATATACTGAGGTTATGTCTCGTGTTTTGCTTGATCCCTGTAGAAAACATCTTTAATGGTTGGGCGCAGTGGCTCATGCCTGTAATCCCAGCACTTTGGGAAGCTGAGGCAAATTGGTCACCTGAGGTCAGGAGTTCAAGACCAGCCTGGCCAACATGGCGAAACCCCATTTCTACTAAAACTACAAAAATTAGCCAGGCGTGGTTGCGTGCGCCTGTAATCCCAGCTACTTCGGAGGCTGAGGCAGGAGAATTGCTTGAACCCAGGGAGTGGAAGCGTCAGTGAGCCGAGATCGTGCCACTTTACTCCAGCCTGAGTCAAAGAGTAAAACTCCGTCTCAAAAAAATAAAATAAAATAAACAAAAGTAAAAACAAAACCAAAAACCCCACCTTTAATGTTAAACAAAACAACAAGGACAACAATAAAAGCTCTTCATTCTTCATTAAGTTTTTAGTGTATCATCAGATCACAGGACATTCTCACTTGAAAGGATGTAATTCAGGATGTCACACTCATACAACTTGTTTTAAGTTTTTCATACCTTAGATCAGGAAAAGTAGAACTGAAAATTGTACCTTAGTTAGTGTCAGGGAAATAGTGGTCAAGGAGATTACTAGGTTACAAGTTTCTATCTGTGGAGTACTTTTTAGTTTTCAATTCACATCTATATACATTACATATAATTTTGCCTTCATGGAAAAGCTATGATTTAGACAGGGCATTTATTCAGCCTTTCATTTATTCAACATTTATTGAGTACCTCCTGTGTGTCAGGTACTATTCCAGCAGTGGAAATACAGCAATGATGAAAAGAATATCCTTGGTCTTTGAAGAGACAGACAAAAAAAGAAAACACACACACACACACACACACACACAACAAATCCATGAAACAAGATAATACCAGATAATGGAAAGTGCTATAAAGAAAAGGTAGAGCAATATAATACAGATAGGGGGTTGAAAACTCCAAATGAGTGGTCTGGAAGGTCTCTCTAATAAGGTGATATTCAAGTTGAGATGTGAAAGACAAGAAGAAGCCAGTTATGTAAAGATTTAGGGGTAGAGAATTTACAGCAAAGAAGGAAAAGTGAATCCCACAGAAGTTAAATACCTTGCTGAAAGTTCCACCATAAAAGAACAGCACAGCTAGAGCAACACAGCTCTATCATTAACAGGCATATATTATTTCAGATAGTCTGGATTTCTACAGTTTTCAATTTACTTCTTATCTATTTGAAGAAGTTATTCTACATAATCCTCATTGGAAACAATGCTAGGAGAGCCATTCACAGAATGAAGTTCTCAGAGATGAAGCACTTGGTTTCACTGGGGACATTAGCAGTATTCATTGGTCATCACAGAAGACATTAAGGTCTTAATTCTCAAAAGAAGATATACAAAGGGCCAACAAACATATGAAAAAAATGCTCAACATCACCAGTGATCAGGGAAATGTAAATCAAAACCACAATGTGATACTACCTTTCTCCTGCAAGAAAGGTCATAATCAAAAAAATAATTAAAAAAAATAGATGCTGGCATGGATGTGGTGAACAGGGAACACTTCTACACTGCTGGTGAGAATGTAAACAAGTACAACCACTATGGAAAATAGTGTGGAGACTCCTTAAAGAACTAGAACTAGAACTACCATTTGATCCAGCAATCCCACTACTGGGTATCTACCTGGAGGAAAATAAGTCATTATACAAAAAGGATACTTGCACACACATGTTTATAGCAGCACAATTTTCAATTGCAAAAATGTGGAACCAACCCAAATGCCCATCAATCAATGAGTGGATAAAGAAATTATGGTGTATATATATGATGGAATACTACTTAGCCATAAAAAGGAATGAATTAGTGGCATTTGTAGCAACCTGGATGGGACTGGAGAATATTATTCCAAGTGAAGTAACTCAGGAATAGACAACCAAACATTCTATGTTCTCACTCATAAGTGGGAGCTAAGCTATGAGGATGCAAAGGCATAAGAATGACACAGTAGACTTTGAGGACTCAGGAGAAAAGGGTGGGAGGGGGATGAGGGATAAAAGACTACAAACTGGGTTCAGTGTATACTGCTCAGGTGATTGGTGCACAAAAATCTCACAAATCACCACTCAAGAACTTACCTGTACAACCAAATACCACCTGTTCCCCAAAAACCTATGGAAATAAAAAACTTTTTTAAAGACTTCAAAATCTTTACAGGAGTTCTTCACTTTTAGCAAATATCAATTGTATTTTCATTTACTCTTTAATTCACTTTCTATTTAATAAAGAAAAATTAACACTAGGGTATAAATGTGTTGTAACAATAGACTAATGTTTATAATGATGTCCCAAGAAATGTAGAAATGTGGTAATACTCATTCATAGCAAAATAAAGCAGACTGTTAGGCTTAGTCATTCTGTTTCTTTTTCTTTTGTTTACCTTCCAATCCTTTCCCTCTCTGTTTTTACGTACCTCTCTCTTCCACTTTGCTCTCTAATGGCATCCAGGAAGTAAATTTAAAGCAAAACTTTGAACACGTCTAAAACAGCTTACAATTGATAAATGAGTACAAAGAGTCTTTATTGGAAGAGCTTAGTTTTTAAAAATCTGTATTATTTCATCTTTCAGATAATGAGGTTCTTTTGGTTCAATGTTAGCCACAAGAGAACTATGATTTGAATATATGGCATTTTTTTAAATGATGTAATTTTTTTCTTTTCTGCCATTTCTTCCTCTTATTGAAGGATCTCAAACTTGAACCACTGGAAGAAGAAATTATTGAAGGGAATACTAAATCTGTAAGTATTTTTATCAGGTAAAAATGTTATCAATATGTTCTTTAAAAACATAATTTAATTTCTTCAAAAATTAGTTATCTCAATGAAAAATTGAAAAACTAGTCATATTTCATTTTATATGGTTAAGTTGTGTTGTTTCTACATTATGATTTGTATAAACCTAATACCTACTTCACAGTTTTTGTGAAAGTACCTGGCATGTAATAGGTGCAAAATGAAAATTTTATACGTGTATTAATCAATGAGTTATTGAATAATTGAAGGAATATGACTGGCAGAGAAGGGCAACATTTAAGTTGCATCCTAAACACACTTTGTAAATCCTGCTGTGATGTACACTGGATATACCTGAGCTGAAACCTGGTTCTGTTCATTATTATATTTCCAGCATTCAGCCTAGGGCCAGGCACACTGAAAATGCTCAGAAATAATTTTTCAAAGAATAAATTGATGTTTAGAGAAAAGGGAGCATTTGTATCCCTAGGGATAAGATGTCCATCCAGAGTGGCAGCGCTTTTTGGAAACAGAAGAAAAATGGACAAAGGGATCCTAAAAAGTACATTAAGATGCAACAAAAAGAAGTTAGCAAATAATTAAAAGCAGTACCTACCAAGCTTTATTGTTTACTTTATGTTGAGGCAAACATGCATAGTACATTTGTTTCAGGAAGTTGGATGTTTACATTTACATTTAGTGAAAATTTGGATTTTAAAATCTTGGGTAACTAGGAGAAAAATCATTTTTTAATACCTTAGATGTATTATATACTTTGTAGAAGTCAAAGGATTGTTCACGCATTTATATGAAACCAAGATAGGAAATAACCTTTCATCTCTGAATTGTGCACAAGCACTGACTACAGATAGAAGAAGGTGAGACCCACCTGTGTGTACGGCTCCTGCCCATCTGTTCAAACTCATAATCCAAAGGGATTCTTCAGAGGAAACTTTGTGGGAGTCTCAGAAAAGTTTAATCATGGCTGCTACTGTTAGAATCCTATAGTTATGAATACTTTCCCCCGATAACTTAGATCTGTCATTGCATGTCTAGTGCTTTTATCCCTCCAGAGACAGGGATGTAGTCTGTGTTAATTCATCAAGACCCCAACATTTTAAAATGGTAGGCTTTCATGGGAAAGTGAGAGGAGTGGGTCTTGAGCGTATATACATACCGAGAATAGCGGGTTTGCACAGTCCCGGAGGCTCAGGAACTGTTAACCTTGTGATCATGCATCTGTTATCTTCTCACAGGTGTGCATTAGAGGAAAAACTATACTCCAGACAAAGGAAAAACAAATATAACTTTTCTAATGTTGTGAGAGATAATTGTCTATTCTTAAATAATTTTCTAATGTGAGATTATTTTCTCTCTATAGCTATGAGGAAGAAAATTTGTCTAAGGATTGTTTGTGAAAGGAGGCAGCTATTCCATTTGCAGGTCCCTGAGCAGCCAAAGCCAAGGCCAATTTTAAAAGATCAACACACACAACATTACTAATTCAGTAGTGCATAGAAGTACTTTAAACAAATAAGACTTAAGAAGGTTGTTCAGCTCTCAATATTGTTTAAAAGCAGGAAAGGATATTCCCTATTTCCAGCCTTATATAGAGATGTAACAATCATGCTCTTTGGGAATATACATATAGTAAAGATTTGAATTGGTTTGTTTTTTCAGAAGTAACAATAAGATATTTGTCATTAAAAGTTGTATTTTTTTATTAATGGTAGTAAGTGCGTTACTATAAATTCCTGTAAAACCTCCTATATTCAGAATGATCAAAAGCATTTTTCACTGTTATTTCATAGCTAGTGCTCTAGTGCTCATAATTCTATCCTACCATGTGTTAAATGATTTATCCTGATGCCGAAAACCAGTTTTAGAATTCGTTGAGTAGTGAGGTATTTTTCCTTTTCCATTAGTGAATGCATGAGAACTTGGAAAAATAAATTCTACGACAGAAAGCAAAGAATAAATTTGTATTACACTTGGTTTTTGTAATGCTGATCTTTATTGATCCTTTGCTATGTGCCAAGTGTTGTACTAAACACACACATAACTCAGTTAATCCTCACAATAGCCAAATAAGGTAGTACTATCCTCAGACTCATTTTATCAATGAAGAAATTAAGGTTTAAAGGAATTTACCTACCATAGCTGAACCCCTGCAGTTCAACCCCAGACCTATGCTCATCACCATGCTCTAACATTTTCAGCCCTAGTGTTTAGTGGATTTCTAGCCTGTAAAGTAGAACTGCTCTTTGCTAGCGAGGTTGTGGATGAATGGATTATTGTTTTATGAGATTCCCTACTGTGAGAGCAGAGCAGATTGTCTGGCAGGCTTGTTTAAGCACACAGCAAAAGTCCTGAACCCTAGCAACTGCCATCTCTAGTTTTCCGGGCAATGAGCCATTACATAATGAGGAGTCCAGGATGTGATTTCTTTTTTTAAGTCCATTTTTTTTTTCTCAGCCTAGAGTAAGAGATGTAACACTTATTTAGTACCTGTCATGGAAAGGATCCTTATACACACTATTCTATTTAGTCCTCCCCAAATTTTGTGATATAAGTACCACTATTCTAATTTTACGTATCAGAAGACAAACTGAGAAAGAGTTAAGTAACTTGTTAAAGGCCACATAGGAAAAGTGAAGCTAATTCTTTTTACTTTGTATGCCTGCTCTTGAAGGAGAAAGAAGAAAAGAAAAAGAGGACAGGATGGTGGAGACGGATGAAAGAGCACCTAACAATTGTGCAGTGCTGTTGAGTTTCCAGGGTCACCTCAAAGCCTTTCCTGGAATAAATAGTTTATTAAGGGAATTCTAAGATTAGTCAATGGCTAAAAGCAAAAGCATCTTTAATGTGTTTGTTCCACAAATAACTTGATCACCAACTATGTTCCAGGCCTGAAGAGAGGGTCTGGAAATAAAGTGGTGAATATTATAGGCTAGAAAACAAACTAGAAGGAAAGTATACAGAATCTACAATAAAATATGATGAGGATTATTATAGGAAGGTACAGATTTGCACAGTAAGGGGACACAACTCAATTTAGGAGACCAAGGAATACTTCCAAAATGACATAATATTTAAGATGAAATCATAAAAACTAAATAGAAGTTTTTTAAAAAATAATACTGATATATCTCTTACTATATTGAATGATTCTAACACTGTACTGAAAGAACACTAAAGTGCTAGATAAAAATATTTAAATGTTCCAAATGATTGATAACAAGCATATTATAAAGATGTGCCTATATGGCACTTCTTACCAAAAGAGTACTGAGTAAGATGATCATTTTCTAGATATTTTCTTAATTCAAAGGTTTTTAAAAATCATGATAATTTTAAACATTTGAGCACATTCATGTGCTTTTCAAAAACTCAGATTTTTCTTCAGCACATTGTTGTTGTAATACACTAAAATAGCTTATCATACAATGAGTCCACAAACCTAGTATCTTTTTCTGCCTCTCTACACTCATATAAAACTGATGGATAACGTCTTGTGAAGTCATTCCATTCTGCCATTCCTAAGGGTTCAGGGGCTATTGTCAAGTAATATAACAGGGACTATCAAAATATAAGTCTTTTTTTACAATGGCTGTTAAGAGTCAGTGAGAGCGTACAAGAAAGGCTATGGTTATCTCTGAAGACATATTTGAAACACAACTGTAAATGTAGTAAATAGAACCAAGTAACCTGAAAAAATAAGTTGTACTTAAAACATGTCTCTGTGTCCCAAGACTAAAAAAGATGACATTTCTTGAAATGTTCCAAGAAATCAAAGGCTGATGCAACATAATCTAATGTCACTGGCAAATACTATCCTATGAACTGAGACTGGCCTTTCATACTTACACAGCACTATTTAGTCCAAGACATTCCAAATATCCAGCCATACTTTCACTGTAACAAAATTCCTATAAGGTAAATGATATACTACTACTCCTATAATAGAGAAACAAAAATGTAGCACCATGAAAGAATATTCAGCCATGACGGAGTGCTCTGAGCTAACTATATCTTGGGATCCCACAGTTTAGTAAGCTTTCAAGTTGTGTATTTGACACAAGAGACACATAGATATATTAACAAGATAGTAGGACTCCTGTTCCACCTCTCCCAAACCCCACATCCTACAATTTGTCTCGGCCTAGCCAGAACAGAAAATTTAAGTGTTTTCTTTGGATTTCAGAAAATCTACTTTAAATAACTACTATTTAAAATGCTCCACTTGTCAGAATAGTCATCAAACTATCAAACTTAGGCAGATTATATGGGGCTCTTTAAATTGATTTCTTTGTGTAACTATCTTAGGAAAGGAGGGGAAAAAGATGCCTCTGGTTTGGGTTGCAAAGTTGGACATCACAA